CTTGTTAATGAATTTCTAGATTCATATTTATGTAAGTACTTTACTGGTTATATATTTTATTTTGCTCTTCAGAAGAACTTACAGTATCATGTTGCCTTGAGGAAGTCCAGAATTTTTGTTTTTTCTAATTAGAACAAGCCTTTTGTATATGATTCTTTGAAACAAATTATATATATATATATATATATATATATATATATTTTAGTGCATGGTTTTAACCATTATGAAAAACTTCTTAATAAGAGCAATCTAAAAAGTGAACTAGAGATAAAATATGCTTAACTATGGATTTACTTACTGTGAAAAGAAAACATCAAGACAAATTAGCTTCAATTATACTATGTAGATCTGGGTGATTAGTGGAATTTGCTAATTGATTAATCATCAGGCATATTAATTGATTATTCTCATATGTATTAAGTCATTTTTGAACAATCTTTGTTTAATACGATAGACATCTTCTACCAGTTGCCATTTGTGCATTTTGCAAAAAATAAAATTTTTTGGCTAAAATTGTTATTGTAGAAAGAAATTTATGCATAGTTCTTTTTTTAATTTCCTACTTAGGGAATTGCTAATGTTAAGAGGTACATGCAGTCACCATTTTATTTGTTCTTAAAATATGTAGTAATCCCCTCCTTTAACCTGGTGAACTCAAATTATGAAAATTGTTTTATTATCATTTAAAATGTAATTATGTTTTATTTAAAATGACATGATTAGCTCATTAATGTCTGAGCTTTCAAACAGATATAATTTAAGGCCAACATTAAAAGATCTAGTCTTTGTTTTTTATATGTGGGGTCACTCCAATTGTAAAAGTTTTATATCAAGCCCATAGATGGCAGTATTTGATCATGAGGAGAAGCATTGTATATGCAAATTTTAAACAAATTTTTATGTTGACCCTTGTGTTTACTCAATGGGTTTAAAATTTTATTGCTTTTAAAAGTCACTTGCTCAGATTATGACCACTCGTTGAGACCTAAACTGATGCAAAGGAGGGTACACTTTCTGACATGTAATTTAGTATAGTAGAAAGGTGCTCTGGAAATGGTATTGGGTCAATGAAGATGTGTAATATTCACCAAAGCTATTAGATTTATGAAAGCACTGTAATTACATTTGAGGAATAAAATAAATTTAATTTGGCTACATTAAAGGAACTGGTTTCATAGCTATATTACATTCATAAGGTTTGTATATTGTATCAAACACACACTTTTCATGTTGTTTACTTTAACTGTAAAAGAAAAAAAACTAAATCTTATACTTTGAAATATGCCATAAAATTACTAAGACATGCTCTGTATATGTTAAAGTGACCAGAAATAATTGCTCAAATGTGAGACTTTTAAAGTGCTCTTATCTAATTCTGATATATTTTCATGTTTCATTTCAGGGGAGGTGTCCAGGCCTTCTCCTTCTTTTGTTGACTTAATAATTCAGGTTTTTTATGGTTTCCTATGATTCCTCACCTGCCCTTTTCTGTGTCATGCAGAGGGGCAAGTATCTCGTGTTTCAACTCCCTCACTGGATATTGGGGTTCCTGTGAGTCGTTTTAGGGATCAGTTACATTCAGGGGTCCATATGATGTGACCCCATCATACTCTGGAAGACCATGCTTTAGCATATCACCATTCTTTGTTTCCCTACTTAGATTTGCAGTATTTTGACTCGCTTGACTCTTTAGGGATTTGGACCACAATACTTCAGTTGCCTTCTGCCACCCTTACTGTTTTCCACCATAACACACTTCGCCTTGTCTGTCCTTGCTGACATGGCTACTCTGTTGTTGGGATTTTTTGGGGTCAAGATCTCCTTTTGTCACAGGTGCATTTGCTTCGGCCCGGCATAGCCAGGTGGTTAGAGCACTCGACTCACAATCTGAGGATCACGGGTTTGAATCCCCATCCCACCAAACATGCTCTCCACTTTCAGCCATGGGGGTGTTGTAATATAATGGTCAATCCCACTATTCATAGGTAAAAGAGTAGCCCAAATGTTGGTGGTGAGTGTTGATGACCAGCTGCCTTCCCTCTAGTATTACACTGCTAAATTAGGGATGGCTAGTGCAGATAGCTCTCATGTAGCTTTGCGCGAAATTCAAAACAAACAAACAAGCATTTGCTTCCCACATTGTGTGATTTTCACATGGCTCCTTTTCTGTGCCAGAATGTTTTGGGGTGGCATTCCTGACTGTTTGGAAACCAGAGTTAAATCAGCATGATTGCATACCTTCCTTTCCTCATTGGCTTACCATTTATCCCAACCCCCCTTCTGTACCTGTTCCTGTGTCTCACCCTCCTCCTACCTCTCCCTTTCTGGTTCTGGCCTCTCGTATTCATGAAGTGCAGACCCACCATTTTGCTCACATCTGGTGGTCCTTCACCATGGACCTTTATGTTTTGCAAGTTGTCTTTGAGGGTCTGATCCTCCATTTTAATTTTCCTCCTCTATTGCCATAGCATCACGTTTCCTTACCACTTCCAGTTTCCAGCCAGTGTCTTTCAGTGGCAGTACAGGACCTGTTTCTCATGGGTGACATCAAATGGGGGATTCCCCTTGTCCAATTTGTTCTTCCCACCTGTTTGTTCTCCCCAAGAATACTAGGGCCTGGCACCCTGTCATCAATCTTTTGGCTCTGAACTGCATCTTGATCCTACCTCGTTTCACCATGGAGTTGTACCTTTGACTAGTTTTCACTCCTGGTCTATAAAAGACAACAGTAGATGTTGTGGAGGTGTACTTTCACTTTCCCCTTCACCCTAACATTACTTTTGTTTTGTGTTTTTCAGTTCAGGCTCTTCTGTTTAAGCTCGCCTCAGCTCACTATGTTTTTGTCAGGTGGTCAGTGTGTTTGTCCATCTTCATTCCAAGAGTCTTCAAGATTATCCCTACAGAGTTGTCACTAGACTCATTGGTGTTTCAGTGGCTCTGTTCCCAGTGGGATGTTCCAGATCTGGATGCCTTTGCCACACATCTCAATTCAAAGCTCTCATGGTTTTGGTCTCCTGTTCCACATCCCTTGGCTGAGATGATAGCTGCTCTCAGTCAGGATTGGACAGGCCTATAACCTGTATGCCTACCTTCCCATTTGTCTGCTTTCCCAAGTTTTTTCCCATCATATAGACCACTCTGTGTTATGTTCTTTTGGTGGATTCCCTTTGACCAGTACAGCTGTGGTTTCCACTACTGCACTGGCTAGTGGTGTTGCCTCCTCTTCTACCCCATCTCTCCCCCACCCTTCTGCATCAGCCAACGTCTGATGTTCATCATCCTTCTATTTCCATACTCCATCTTCACAGGTGGCTTTTGTCAGGTCCTCTAGACTTTCCAACATGCTGTTGCTGCTCTTCTTTTAATGGAGTATGAAACCTTTCCACTCATTAGTTCCTAGCTGCTGGATTGTGGAGGCTTCCTCTTGAGTGTATTTATTCCCACTCAGTTGAGAGTGGGGTGGTGGTGTTCTGCTGGTGTAGATGGCATTGATGCTTATCTTATCACAGACTTGATGTACAATTCCAGATGGCGCCCAGTGATGGACGATGCATTCCACCATCATGCAGTTTGCTTCTCCAGCTAAGGCACACTCCTTCCTACCATCTCCCAGATCTCAGTTCCTGGCAGATATGGTGCTGGTTGGAGCTGGACCAGCCACATAAGTCCACATGTATATGGCCAGTTACCCTCCTCGTACCACTAACTGGATGATATATTCATAATGCCACCTGGTGCTCGATTGGAAATGAACCCCGCTTTGCTGTCCACCTTTGTACCATCTTCGACAGATATGGATGTGCACACATGATGATGCTGATCCTTGTTACGTAGGCCCATCTTCCCTGCTAGTTCCCTTATCTGAGGTGAAAAGTTGAGCACCTTCTTCCTACTGTGGGCCAGATATCCCTATCATGATTCAACTTGTGTTAGTTAAGGTAGGTCTCCCATTTATGATACAACACGCCATTCTACATCAAGGGTTCCTTAATTTCATTTATTTAATTTACTGGGGTTCCCCTCTTTTGATTCCACCCTTATTGCGACACATGTTTACATGGCAAAGAATATGCCTGGCTCAGAAGTGGTGCAGTCTTCCATGGCTTTCATTTATTTACACACCCCATGATATTCCTTTGAGTGCTTTCTATAGGGGGATCATATTCTCACCAGACCTTCCATCTACTCAATGTGGGATTGTAGCTATTTGTGAATGGAGGTAAGATATTGATTCAGAAGTTAATATTTTCCTACACTGAAAATGTATACTGCTCCTTGGACTACTGCTTTAAGGAATTTAATACATTATTGGGAGAGAAGTCTGCCTTGTTGGACTTT